GTCGGCAGCTCAAGACCACTCACCTGCGCTGTGGTAGACCATAACCCGACTCTCCTCCAACAGCCGTCCTTCAAATCATTTGACAAGTCCACATTGCACAGGGGCAATACTCCGTCGTCATTCCTCCTGAAACATTGAATCTCTTTGTAGCGCGGGCGGGCACACCGGGTGCGATATTTTCCCAAACACTCGGTGCTCTGGTGTCTCTTCACCGCCTCCCAAGCCACGCCCACCCACCTCCCGACTCTCCGAAGTCTCCCAGCTCTCCCACCCTGGTCGATGGCCCATCACCAATAACATCCATCGGTTTTCCGAATTCCCACCAAAACCTCTTCCATCTCTTCTGTACCACCGTCAGACATCACACATAACGCGACGACACATAACATCCTTTGCACAACTTCAATGTTCGATTCCTGTTGGCCTAGTCCTCTCTGCTGCTGTACTGCCCAACTCGGCGGAGGCTGCTGATTCGATTATTGGAGGACCGTTGTGCCCCTCATTCGTATCAGCGTCCTACTGGAAGGCAACCTCCGCCAGAATGGGCATTCGACCAAGCCATGCTGAACACAATCCACTGAGACAAATCGACTCTGAGCCGCATCGCCACCATCCCAGACACTCGCTTAGGTTCGGCATGTGGCAGAAGATCCAGCATTTCTTTGCCAAAGATGACGCTACCCAAAGCCCGATCGAGTGCTCCGACGATGAGCAATGGCCTCAGACTTGGGCTGACAGAGAAAATTCCACCATGCCAGATACCTTAACCAGGCCGCTTGCCGTTGGCCTCCCCCGGCAAGCGACATTCCGACGTCAGAACTCTGAAAGACGAGATCGATTATTCCCGATCGAACCTTGTCATGCCGAGAGGAGAGCCGTCTCTTCGACTAGGCACGCTTCTATAAGCTTACCCAGACGACGAGCAGCTTCTTCGCCACCCTATTGGGATCCAGGTCGGACCTCTGCGCCCGCAGTAACTGGAGCCAACACGGCGGATGCCGGTATTAGTGATTCCCCTGTCAATACCGTTCCTCCACCCCTGGAGTCAACCTATCCCGAGGCTATTGAGGACCTTTGGTCTCAGGACGAATACCGACCCCCCAGGCCCTCTTCAAGGACTTCTTCTGATGACTCTCACTATCCCCAAATGGCTATCGCCGACGACAAGGCAGAATTGAGGGACGAACTTGATCACCGATGGATCCTCAACCTCAGTATGCATTTCCGGGATAAGTCAGACCGAGAAAAGTTCTTCGTGACCTATGCACAGACCCCCAACTTTTGGCGGCGGGTGACTATCTCATGTGACTATCGCAATGCTGAAACAGGTTCGCTGGAAATGGACCTCAAAGAACTACAGTTTCAACGGGACAAGAGCATGCAAATCTACGAGTCAATACGTGATTCACTCCCTGAGATCCAATTCTATGACACAGTTACTAACCTCAAACTGGAAACTACTGATGGCCGTCTCCATGTTCATGTGACTGAGGATGTCAATGAGATCATTCCATACCCCCCCAAGACCACCCTTTCCCACATCCTCAACGATGAAGCCTTTCGTCCGATGCAAGTCCGGGAAAGTGAGCTGATGTTCGATTCGCACCTTTCCGGTTTTGTTTACAAGGTTCTACATAAGGGTACAGTCTACATCAAGAAAGAAATTCCCGGTCCGGACACAGTGGACGAATTCTTATATGAAATCAATGCCCTGCATGCGCTACATGATTCCAACCATGTCATCAAACTCGAAGCTGTCATCCTTGATGACACGGAGTCTGTTGTCAAAGGGCTCTTGATAGGCTATGCGGAACGGGGCGCCATTGTGGATCTCCTTTACGACCACAGAGGAGCAATCGCTTGGGAGGATCGTTGCAGGTGGGCAGAACAAGCCGTTCGTGGTCTCAGTGAAATACACGAAGAAGGCTATGTTCAGGGCGATTTCACGCTTTCAAACATTGTGGTCGACGGCGATGGAAATGCTAAGATCATTGATATCAACCGGCGAGGCTGTCCTGTGGGGTGGGAGCCCCCCGAAATTGCCACTAAGATTGCCAGCAACCAACGAATTTCCATGTACATCGGCGAAAAGTCGGACATCTATCAACTCGGCATGACTCTGTGGGCTTTGGCGATGGATGATGATGAACCAGAACGGCATGTGCCACCTTTGAGCGTAGAGGAATTTCCATCGGATGTCCCGGACTGGTATCAAGATATTGTTCGGATCTGCTTGTCTTCTCGTCCGAGGGATCGACTATCCGCAAAAGAGCTAGTTGGCTTGTTCCCATCGAGGATATCCAGTCCATCAGACCAAATCTCCTCGCAACAACGACCTACCCTGAAATTGCGGACAGTAAAGAAATATATCGATCCGGCGGATGCAGTCGAGCGGGACGACATCCTACGATTGAGTTCAAGCATACAAGAACACGAAGCGCCTCCCTACTCACCGGAAAGCTCAAGAGATGATTACACATTCACGTATCCGAAGTCATCCAACTATGAGTTCGAGAGCGAGACCTCAGGCTACGATCGACCGAGAGGCAGACGACCGCCTACCAACTATGCGCACCTTGGAAAGTATGAGAGACATCATTGGGAATCTGAGGATGAGGGACCCACCCCAACTGAGGACTTGGAACCAAATATTGTGGCTATATCTCCGGGAATGGATCGAGAGTTTGATGAGCTCGAACTGGATGGACATCCTTACTTGGTTTCCCGTCGCACCTTTAACGACGATGAACTGAAGATTTTAGAAGGTCCTCCGCAAGTGGAGAGCAGCGTTCCAGACCACGAACTCCAATCTGACATGAGTGTAACCGAGGTCTCCTGCTTCACTGATATATCTCACGCGGTACCGGTCCGACGCCCTTCGCTCCTCGCCGCAACTTCTGCCACTTCTGAAAGTACGCCTCGGAATAGCCAGGAGCTCCTTTCTACCTTGTCTCAGTATCGACCTGAAAATCATGAAGGTCTTGGTATTTCGACTGAGAAGCTGGAGATTGGGTCCGGGAAGCCACAAGCTGCTATTGAGAATGTGCGGGATCGGACAGAGGAACACCCGGAGGATGTGGCTCGGAATTTCATTGATGTGACACAGGATTCAGAGTGCGAAACCGAGTATTCAGAAGACGCAACGAAGACTCCTCGGGAATCCGCCGAGAAGATTGAGGTCATACCTAGCGACTCGGAAGATCCGGCGCATATGATGGTGAACTCGGCTAAGGATATGGAGCGCTTGCCGGAGGCCCCGACCCTGTCGACTGATCAACCATGCGAATCCGCGGAGAAGCCGGAAATCTCGATAGAGGATGCAGAAAACTTGATCGGAAACACCCCAAAGGCTCATGAACCAGTCGAAAATGCCACAGATAGCCCGAGCATCACAACAGACAATACTGAGCAGATGGCCGAAGTAGAGAACAACGCGACCCAGCTTACGGACACCCACATGGGGACACTGGGTTCGGTGCTCGAGGAAGTAGAGAAGTGCAGCGGGCGACCCAAGGACACGATCCAGAATCTAGAAGTGGAGCTGGATTGCCTGAGTCGAGGCGACGACAACAGAGCCCCGAATAAAGACAACGTCCTTGTCAACGATGGTTCTGATTTCTTAACAGCTGGTTCCAAGGATACCGAAGCGCAGAAAAACACGGACCGACCTTTAAGCACAGCAGCGAGAGGACCACCGAGTCTGCGATTCGTTGACAGTGGCTACCACGAACAGTTTGCCGGGCTTGATGGTGATAATGACCTTTCTCAAATACCACCAATCACTCAGTCGCCACCAAAATCAGACCAGCTGCCTGCGCAGGAGAGCCATCCTCTTCTCGCCGACAAAGCTTGGCATGGTGGGGAGATGTCTCTACTATCCGATCACGTTTGTGAAGATACTCCTACCTCGAGTGACGCCAAGCTCCTTGTTTCATGGGAAGGTCGATCAGTGACTGAAGCACTCCGTACCTCGCCGCCAGATAACAACCCATCTACCAAGGCTAACGCGGGCGACATAATACAAACAGGGCTACCGAATGAGTGACGCAAGTCGAGCCGCCTGCACGAAGACAGGACTCGACCCATTTCCCTCAAAACGAGCTTCACAGTTGCACAGCAGAGTCATCTGTTTTCAAGGCATGGGCAAGACTTTAATCGTCCGAAGGTCTTCCAGCGGCTTCAATTTCTGCTTGCCTCAATAAACCCCCCGGTTCCCAGGATCGGATGAACGTCTGACTGGTGCCGGTACAAGAAATCTCATGACTCTACCTGTGGTGAGTACGTAACTACCGGATCTCTGGAATGAAATCATGTGGGGATAGCCACTTGACCGCTTCCTTATGCCAGTCTTTTGAGCAACACGCATGCACTGATAAGCGAATGAATCACGACATTTATTGAACTTGGATGACGACGATACGAAATGCTACCAACAGCCTAGGCTGTAATCATGGGTGGATTGTAGTTTTGCGGATATCTTGCGGCACTTTGATATGCAATGCAACCTAAGGATGCATATTGTTACGACAGATTATGTTCACAAATGATTGGGGCTGCATTCGAAGCAAGGAGGATGGGGTCTTTTGATCTTTTAGTCTAGCTTTTCGGGTTTATGTACAATGCATCGAGGCGGCGTTATGACATTTGAAAAGGATCGTGGTTGCGAAACCAAACCAATTCAGCGGCGAGCACATGCTTGACCAGATGAGCAGGGGAGCTTTTTTTGTCTCAGCACGATGGACTGATCTGTATCAATTCCGTTTTGGATTGGGGCATCGAGGATGCTGAACAATACATCAAGGCAAAGCTAGATGCCTCTCAGGAGTTGCTTCTCTCCTGCGGTTTCAACGGAAGAATGCGAGGTGCTTGCAGATTTCAAACTTCGATAATACCAGAGAGGCGACACAGTACTCTATATCATTTTATGACACGATATGACATAGTATCTAAGACTTCCACCGACCGAAATGCTGAACCTTTTCTGTATTTCACCTCGCACATCAAGCGGAGTCGTCGTGCTCATCAAGCTTCAAGCCAGTTATCAGATCCAGATTCCTCCCAATAAACACGATCTTGCCTTCTTCCGCCGCCACTTCTTCTCCGGCTTCTGTGGCCAGCGAGCCACCACCAGTCTCGGAGTGTGGCAGGTCAATGATCTCAAAAATCTCCCTAACCCCCTGAACAACCCTAGCACTGCCATCAGTACACTTGACCAACCCTTTCGTTCTATGAATTTCGTACTGTCGCTCTCTCCCCTGCTGCGACTCCTCGGCATCCCAGAGCAGTGCTTCCAGCCAGCCTGACAGAAGATGTAGCTTTTGTGGATCAAAAGGAGGCAAGGTGAATGTGGCTGTGGAGAGCGTGGGATCTAGGTGCGAATGACCTTTGGAGGCGAAGTCGGGGATGGTCTTGTCGCTGGCATCGGATGTGGCGGAGCCGGAGGGGAAGGTTGAGTACGCTTTCAAATCAAGGATGGTGCCACTGAGATCTGTGACACGAGAGTGTATTGTTGGGACTATTTGTGCTAGACTGTTAATAGAGGCAATTCTGGCCTGAACAGCTGAAAGTTGCGCCGGAGAGACAAGATCTGTCTTATTGAGGATAATCACATCTGCGTGAGAAATTTGAAGATGAGCAGTTGTGAGCAGAGGGAGGCTGTGATCGTGACCTGCGGTCTCGGATTGCGGTAATTCTTCTGGCGCAGCCTCATCAAGGCTTTTGAGTATGTTTTTCGCGTCAACCACTGTGACGATGCCGTCCAGATAGATACTGCTGCCTAGTCCTTCATCGAGCCAAAACATAGGAGCGATATTCCCTGGATCCGCAACACCCGTGGTTTCGAGCAGGATGTAGTCAAAGTCCTTCTGACGCTCCACGAGGGATTCCAGAGCTGCCACTCCAGAATCCTTGACGCTGCAACAGATACACCCGTTGGCCAACGGTATCCATTCTGTTGTGGCCTGATGGTTCTGAGTGACAGTCAGGGACTTTTCAATATCTGTGGTGTTTCCAAACTCTGCAGGCCTCGCAAGGACGTTAGCAATCAAAATCAAAATCAAGGATTGCAGGTCAAGGAATGGGCAGGATAGGGTTGGTCGTTCAGGGCATCCCAAGGGGTGAGAGGGGACTTCCACATGCCATTTAAAATGACTGCTATTTTTTTGCCGTGCTCCGCTGTTAATATATAGTTGAGCAAAGTTGTCTTTCCGGCGCCCAAGTAGCCTGCAGGTTCTCCTGTCAGTGGAGGCCGCGCATAAGTCTTCTCAAGGAGCGTTCATACCCGTGATGATGGTGATGGGCACTTTTTTGTCCGGGCCGTCTTGTAAAGTGGTGGTGGTGCCATCCGAGTGAGAAACGTCGACCAGATCAGGGATTTCTTCATCATCCATGTCTATGTGTTGCCCTGCGATTAACAAGCACTACGCTGATCCCAATTATGTGAAAGTTTTAGGCGATTAGAACCCTCTCCCTCTGCGCGTTTCATCATACCTTGCGGCACCCAAAATGCCTCTGCGGGCTGTGCTCCCTGTCGACGTACAGATGAGGAATATCAACCGAGGGAGAAAGTTTTAGCTTTTAAGGTTTAGCGCCCGACCGCTTGTCGATCTCAAACCTTATTCTTTCACAAATAGGCAACTCATCCGAAACGGTGCTCCTGCGTACACCTTGGTCGGGCTCACCATGGAGCTATCTACAAGCATCTCAGGATACCTACAAAACACACCACCAACCCCAGGTACCCGAAGCGCACTCATCTCCTCCCAAACTCTTGTCTCGCGCCGTATTTCCTGAGCTGGCTATGAGAGCCACGGTATTTTCAGTTGATCAAGAGCACCGCCGTTAAGCGCCACTCTGCGACCACGCGACCGCATTGCCCTCAGCCCTTTGCGCCTTTCCTACCACCGACGGAGAGGACTGCTCACGATTAGGGGCCATGAAAGAAGCTCAAAAAGCTCCTCACCTGGCAGAAACGCACTACTCGAGGACATAGGTATCCGCCTCCCAGAGTAAAGAGACGACCGCTTCCGGGGAATAAGCGACGAGGTCACCATCATATACGCTCGACCTTCAACGGTGCCTTTGGCCCTCCACATACACAATGACTGCTGTTACACCCTCGAGGTCTGGCGTCTCGCCGTCCAGCTCCCCACGGCTACCATCTCCTCCACCAATACCGGAGGTCCAGTTCGGCCCTAAAAGCCCAGGTGTTGACCTCTCCAAAGAATTATCACTTGATGCGACGTCAAAACCAGATGAAGGAGCAGCAAGGAGGATTAGGCCGGGAACAAAAGCTGCAGATATGGCTTTGGGACCGCCTCTGGTTCCACTGAGCCAGCTCGACTCGCCATTTCAACTTCAAGAACACCTCAAATCCCTCTACGCTCACCTCACCCACACACCAGAGTCTACACACACCGTCCCAATCACGAAGGAGTCAGCGCTACAGCTCGCCACACCACCTCATATCAACGACAGCGAATCTGTGGACAGGAACCTGTGGCTGTATGAACTCTGTCGATTTCTCACTCAAAAAGCCAATATCGTCTCAATATTCTTAATGAACGACAACCCGCCGTGTTCTGCTCAGACGTGTCCTGAAATGCGCGCCAGCGAATGGCAGTATCTCTGTGCGGTACACGAACCACCCAAATCATGCTGTGCCATCGACTATTGTAACCATACTCTCGACTGGGCCGCGAACGTTCTGACCAGTCCGAAGCATTTCCCCTCGCGGTTGGCGCTTGGTTCGGAAGCAGGAAACGTCATGCAAAGCATGCGACAATTGACCAATATCTTTCGAAGAGTGTACCGTATATTTGCCCACGCTTGGTTTCAGCATCGTGATGTCTTTTGGTCTGTCGAAGCCACGTACGGGTTGTACGTGCTCTTCAAAGTCGTTTGTGATGAATATCATCTCATCCCCGAGGACAGCTATACGATTCCAGCTGAAGCTGAAGGAATTCACGAAGCTCCTGTTGAACGTGAGGGGCCCCTACGACCACAAATACTAGTAAGAGACACTGCAGGGGGTTCCGCGTTGGATGATCCATCTGCTGGATCCACGTTATCAGACACCACGACGCCGACTGCACCTACAACAGTCAGCACGGGCGCAACAACACGGAGACACAAACACACCCCAAGCACCGGGAGCCATGTTGCCACCATCGCCGAAGGCCAGGAAGAGGAGGAAGAGCACCCGAAAAGCAATGAAGTGGCACCGAAGAACCAATCTTCACCATCTCAATCGGGGGAGACACTAAACGTCATTGCAAATTCGGAAAGGGGTGTCTCTTCGACGGGGAATGACTCAGGGATGGACAGAAGTAAAGGTATCTCCCCCGAGCGCCACCTACCAAAGCTTGACATTACCTCCTCGGTGCCAAAATACGAGCCTCGTGCTCCAGAGGATCCCACACCCACCGGTACAACAGAAGATGTCGACCCAATCTCCACGCATATGATTTCCCAAAATCTCGAGTCAACTTCTACAATGGGAAGTGGAGACGCCAGTGTTAAGACGGCCGACAGTGCAGCCACTGCGAATGCGAAAGATGAACAAGCGAAAGTAGAAACCCCGATAGAGCAGACAACCAATCCGTTCCAAGAGGAAGGAGGTCACAAAATCACGTCGCCTTCCGGTGGCTCGATCAGGACGAGTGGAAGTGACGTGCTTGGGGCAATACTGGGACATATCTATGATTTGGATGATGAAAATTCCATTGACTCAGAGAAGCAAAGTCCGCCCGTTGACAGAGCGGCGGCAACGCACGGGATAGAAGCGGCCTCCAGCGAGAGCGCAGGGCATGGCGACGACAAAAGTGACGAGGATAATGAGGGCATGAGTCCAATCAGGGCGGAGCCACCATCACCTGTTGGCCCGAAGGATAAGGATTCCAAGGTCAACGAGGGCGGAGACGAACCCAAGACAGGGAACGGGGAGCTTGGATCTCCAGCTGACGAGGTGAAAATCTCGGTTCTGGAGACTACAGATGACCTCAACGTTGAAGAAGACCAAGCTAGGCAGGGTGAGACGGAAAACAAAAATGAAGGATGAATCAGCGCCGCACTACGCTGGAGAGCCGAGTCTGCAACATCAAAGGTAGTCCAACCTCCAGGCCAGGCAACTCGTTGGTCCTTGTTCCAGCCAGGGCGACCATCATTGACTCGCGGGTAAACGAAATGCCGTGGCATGCTAGATATTCGAGGACGGAGCAACGCCGCTATGTTGTTGCACAGTATCTTTCGCCGGGTTTTGCTCTTCTTGCTTCTAGGGGCCGCGTTCAAGAATACTTTTCTGGTAGGACACATTGTTTGTATTGTACATAGCTGTTGTAACACCACGAGCGTCTTCCTACCTACATTGGGCGTATCATGGGTCGAATGTCCGATTGTGCTTCTCTGAACCCTTATTACGTGCTAGACAACCTGGTGGCAAGGTCTTGTTTTGATGCCCAGGGAGCCTTGGGTGCCCAATCCAAGTTGCACTGTCAATAGCATGTGCGGCTCATGGTAACCCGCCTAGCGCACACGAAGATAGTATCTTATACATGGGACTTTCATTCACTTTAATACCGCAAGAACCACGAACGTGCAAACATTCATCCCGCTTAGGGTTTCATCTTTCCGTTTCTTATGCTGCTTTTCGAGACAGGCACAAATCTATTCGTCCTCGACAGCGAAGAAATCCCCCTTGAAGCGCAATTCTGCTCAACTCCCCCCAGCATATCCATGCCTCAACTTAGCCATCCGCGGCTCGATCAAGGGATGCCATTGCGCGAAGAAGGTAATTGCTGCATCGCCACAGGCAGTCAGCGGAGCGCATCATGAGAAGAGGTGTTGGCCAAAGAACATGGAGTTGTCAACACCAGGCGGGCTTGTAGAGACCCGGGGGTTCCAGGTCATGGTATTGGTGCGGGAAAGTAGAACAAGGAGCGATGATCAGGAGTAGTGCACGGAAGAACAAACATCGTACGTACCCCACATGATATAACAACTTGCAAAGCTCAGAATGAGGGTACTTCTCCATATCCTAGAGAATAGAAAGTCAGTATTTGACGATCAACCAGCTTCGAACTCGAGGGCAAGCATTCTGAACAACTCAAGGGGTGATTGGCTTCGTGACGTAGGTCAAACTCGATACCGACATAGCGGTGTGAGTTGATCCATGTAAAGAAATTGAGTACATACGTTTGATTTTCACCCTTTGGGCTCAGGAACCAGGCCGCGACGCTGAGGACGACGATGACGATCAGACCGATGAGGATAGACCACCTGCCAGAAGAGACCATAGGTCAGCTCGAGACTGACTTCATTCTTTACGCCACCGGGAAGTCCAATTGGAGAAGCTACTAGAGCAAGGAGAAGTCGAGATGTGTGGCGGAACATGAGGAAAGAGGACACGAGGGTTGAGGAGGTCTCCTTCTCAGAATGACCACAATGACCAGGGTTGCAGGCAGTCAGAAAGTCATCTCGCTCCGACCAAACAACAGGTTTCACGCCGCCGCACTCTAGATGTAGGAGCCAGAGCCTTCGTGATGAATCCCACATATCCCTGAGCTGTAGCCTCCTCATTTTGTAAGGCTCAGCTTCTCTTGTCCTCATGCCCAGTGGTTATCATCTCCCGTGCTTCCATTACCAGGCTGGATGTGTCAAAGGATCGAGGTTGCGAAGACGAGATCTTGGGCCCAGAGGCTCCTTGCATGTATGATGTGGACGTACCCGTTTGCCATCTTGTGTATGTGTCCTTAATTCCTTGGGTCAAGTCCTCGAGGGATCAGAGTGAAGACGGGGGCTGCGAATCGCGAAGTGCGTCGAATACCGCCCACGTCAACTGTGCAGGGTCGAGAGGGGTTCTGTGGAAAGGGCGCCAGTCTCTAGAGGGATATGGGACCCGTTGTTTGAGGAGGCACGCAGCTCTGTATCGTATGCAGTCGTTAATATTCGTGGAGCAAAAGCAAGACGAAGGCGGCACTTCGAACCAGGTCAGTGCGAGACGCCACAAGCTGTCGAGTTGTGTCACCAGCGGGAAATCTTCGGCAGCCCTTGACACATCGGCGCAGGTCACCACGAGAGAGCAACGGACTAGTCTAACACCAATATTTACGAGTTACAACAACAGCAACAAATGACATTTGGTATGCGGATTTAAGTTGGACGATGTTTCCTCCACCCCAATCATCCCATTGCAGACACCACAATAGCAACCGGAACAAAGTACAAAGCCCATGAGCGAAAGACTCTGAGGTGAGATCAAGCACCCTCTCTGCTCTTGCGATAGTTGCTCTCCTGCTCAACCTGGAGCTGATCGATCTCTGGGGCCAATTCAGACAGAATCTCATACGCCTTTTTGTGGTACTCTAGTTGCGCAGCAATCAGGTCCGCCAGGTTGCGGAGTGGTTCGGGGGTATCGAGCACCTACAAAGGTTAGTTTTGTCGAGGTGTCAGGGCGTCATATACATGGGATAGACTCACATTCTTCATTACCCCCTGGGCCTCCTCGACCTGCGAGACAAACTCGTCTTCCTTGGCCTCAATCTCCGCACGGGCATCCTCGCTCAGGGCGGTCTCATCATCCGGATTCATGCCGCGACCCTGAATCTGACCTTTCTTGGCCGCCTTGGTGCTGTCCAACAGCAAACGACTGTTCTCGACCGCCTTCCTTGCCTTGGTCGCGAATTGAATGTTTGTGTTCAGCGTGGTGCTCCATCCAGCAAGGAATCGCGACTGGATGGCCTGATCCTGTGCCAACCGAGCTTCGCCCAGTTTTTCTTCCGCAAGCGCGTATTTCTCCAAAGCATTTGCAAGTGGGTCTTCACCGGTCCCCGAGGTGTTGGACTGTTTGATGAGCTGGGAGCTTGCGAGCGAGGCGCGGGCAATGGCATGATTGAATGTCTTGGGTTGAGGCTTTGCCGAAGGGGGAGCAGTAAAGGCAGTTGCTGCTTCGGATGCGTTGTGGGCTTTGGAGAGCAGCGTCACTTTCTCCGAGATGCTGCGACCAAGATCACCGAAGGATTCGCGGATATTGGGAGGGTAGTCGTAGGCTTCATTCTGGTATTGCTTGCTAGACGGTTGTCAATGGAATATCTCGGCGTAGATCATGGGAGTCGTACGTGACATCAAGGAGCTTCTGATGGACTTGCTTCAAAGCATCGACTCGTTTCTCAAGCTCGATGTAGTCCGCCGGCAGTTGTGTCTGAGAATCTCTTCGTCAGCGGAGGTCGCTAAGCCATCGAGTATTGTTGATGATGCGGACCTTATCTTCAGCATTTCCAAATTGCTCCTTGAGATACTGTTGACTTCGTTGCCAGGACGGAGTAACTGTCGAATTGAATGCCGTACTAATAGTACCCATTCAATCAGTGGGAATTCGAGGATGGGTTATTTGATCGAGGATACATGGGATTAGGGGGGCGCACCTGATATTCTTGCCAAAGGCAGAGAACTTGTCCATGGTTGCAACAACTTGCTCAAGACCACAGCGACAACGGGAGACGACGGATCCAAGAGAGGTCTGTACTGTAGCTCAGAGAAACCAAGGGTAATGGATGGAGGGCAGTGGTTAATGGGCAATGCAGGCAATTTGTCTGTTGGATTATCAGGGAGACAAGGCGGATGAGATGCAGTCTGACATCGGCCAGACGGGCACCGGGGGCGTGTGGGGGTCAATCCTGCTCACATGTGCGCCTCACTACGGCAACCCACAAGCTTGTTTGGTCCTCTCTACACATACACTAGGTACCCCGTACATGGATGGATATGACCCCTAGAGAGCCTGAAACAGTCCCACGAAAATCAATCTCTTTGGCATCCAAAGGCATCTGAAATGGTGGTTATAAGATGAGATTGAAAACTGAAGGTATGTAACGCAGTCATCCAACTCATGTCTATCTCCAAATTTCAGAACTTGAATCCTCCGTCCACAGTCCAACAACTTGACATATGAGATTCGTTCATAGCTGTGTATCATACCAGCTGTCGTTTTCCAAACCCTCAAGCTCATTCCGTATACTTTGCAGAGTTGCTTCGAAACTTGTCATAGATCGATCATACCAAACCCAGTAAAAGCATCGGCGCAGATAATGTAAATGGTACCCCGTCCCCTCCCTGGAGTTTCTTCAGAAGGGCTGTTCACCAACACCAAATTGTATGCGCTTCCCTGAAGTGCTTTTCAGGTCAGAGTGGCCATCATGGCCTTGATGATTGCCGGGCTTGGGGCAGCCGAGCGTGAGCGACCTGTCCAACGCCGGTCAATCAGGAAAACTTTGTTCATTTGACAATCAACGACATCCTACCTCGCCGATCCTTCTTGACTTCGAGAACCTCGTCGCCCCTTCTTTCAATGATGACCTCTCCTCGAGGCGATGGAGATCTTTCACGGGCTCGTTCGATCTTGATAATTTCTCCACTTTCGCGCTCGTACCGCCTCTCGCGCCTCAACTCTCGCCTTTCAGCCTCCAGCCTGCGGATTTCTTCCTTGATATCTCGCTCACTGCGGTGTGGCTTACGATCGACCACCAGTGCAAGCGGCCCGACATGAACCGAATTGGAATCTTCGACTTCTTCTCGAGTGATTCTTCGCTCGATGATCGTCTCATCGCTGACAGACGAACCTCGGCGGTGCGTGGTGTGAGATCGGTGTGTTCGTGCCGGAGAGACTTCCTTGATCACTTCCTTCTTCTCCACAACCGTCTCCTTGAAGACTTCAGGCGAAGATCCACGGCGCGACCGTCTTCGTGACCGTGATCGATGAGACTTTGTGGGGGACGGAGACCGGACGGAAAGGCCATCCCAATCGCGCACGGAGCGGGGTGCGTCTGCAAGTGGCACAGTCTTGATCTCCTCCCTTTTCTCAGTCTTTTCAATGATCACTTCGCCTCCATGCACGCTAGGTGCGCGGATACTGGGGGCTATACTGGGCGGGGCTTCAATGAGCCGAGTCGTTGTTACTGCAACTCTCAGATACCTGGTTCACAGAGAAGTGACACTGGGAAAAGCTTACCTTCTCTCTCACGATATTCCTTGCTCTTCGTGAAAATCTCATCGATATTGTCGGGACCTAACGCCTTCTCAATGATGATGGTTCGGTCATCCTGCAAACAGTCAGTTTTGTTATGCTGATCTGGGCAATCAGACATTCTCACCTCTTCATAGTATGGATAGCCCAGATCAAACAACACTTTAGTGTGGACGAGTCTTTTTGGCATACGTGTCTTGCCTCGCCGTGGATATGGCTTCTCCTCAATTATCTCCTCCTTGCGTTCTTCAATGATTTCTTCTTCCCTCAAAATACGGGGCCCCGGAGAAGGGCTGCTGTTTCTACTTCTTCGTTTGACCCATTCGCGCTCTCGATATTCCCTGAAGCCATCATCACCGTAGTAGTCAGGGTCTTGCACGCGGATGTCCTCGTAGAACTTTTCGTCGTAATGAGGATACCGTCTGGGTGAAGGGGGCCGGACTTGGATCAGTTCTCGTGGGGGGAGCCCCCGTTGCGGTCGATGGCCATCGTCGTAGTCGTCCAAGCGTCTGGCTGGCCTGCGGTCGAATGTGTCCAGGCTCGACTGACGGCGGATGATGCCCGGTCGTGGAATTGGATCAGGTCTGGCTGGTCGTTCAGGAGCGTACGGCACGATCTGACCTCGTTGCGCTCGTGGATCATAGTAGTCGGTCTCCTCAAAGTACTTGCGTTCGCTGGCACCGCGAGGACCATAGCGGTCTTCCTCATAGTATCTCTGGTCCTCGTAGACGGGAGCACGGCGGGGTGGGTAGTCGGCGTATGGAGGACGTTGATCAAGGACCGGTGGAGCCGGAGCGCGCACTTCTCGTTCACGCACAAACCGCTCGGCATCCCATCTCTGGGGAGCAGGGTCACGATACGGGAGATTGCCCTCAGAGTAGCGAGGGTCACTGCGATACCTAGACATAGCTGCGGCGTGAACGTCCCTGGTTGAAAGGGGATTTTCGGGTAGTAATCCTAGACGGGTGATTGAGGAGGATGAGGCTAACGAACGAGAGGGTCAGAGACCGCCGACACTCAATTCCTCCCGGGCGAGATGGCTGAGCAAATGAAAGGAAAATTTCCTGTCAAGAAGCGGACAACAATCAATATGAAGAGTCTTTACAGAGGAGTCGCCGCAGGATTGTGACGATCACACTACTTCAGTACGAATTGATTGGGGGGCACAGTGGGTTGAAGAGGCACCAGAGAGGAAGGGGATTGAGGGTGGCAGTGAGTTGGGCTGCTGATGACGTCGCAACACTATCTGTTGTTTATTGGGCTCTTGGGCACCACCCACCACCAACAACCACTAATACTTCCTTAGTTAGGGACTTTAGGTACACTTTATTACTACCAGTACCCGGTAGGCAAGGCAACAAGCACCCCCAGCCTCCCATGCCCTTGGTGGGCAGAGACCCAGTTTTGGGCAGCACTTTGAGACTCATTTCATCTGCTAGGTACTTTGTAGAGCTCCAAGGTGGCGTCTGTGTACTCGCCGAGGCCTTGGGTACGTTCCACTTTGGTACGATTGATAATTCCTTCAGCAATGTAACTCGGTATCTAGGTAGTCAGCCTTTGAAGGCCAACATGTCCAATACACAGTACTGATAAGCCGCAAACTTTTGGAGGCTAGCTTCGGACCGTGGAACCCATCCTTATGAAGACCTTTGCTCTGCACCTCCAGCTCCACGTGGTATCTCACGTCGGATAATGTCTCAATGACAGCGAGTCGCCATATCTCCAGGACGCCTGTTCTTCCAGCCTTCCCGACTGTACAAAAGGCATGCCGCCCCCATGGTTCCATGTGTACATTGCGCCTGACCACATTGGCTCACGTCGTACCGCCCTGCTCTCGAACGCCGGCAACATTGTCATGAATCGTAACGCCATGCTTGTCCTAGAGTAGACATGCTTAGTTCTCCTTTCCGTTGGTGCCAGTTGCAGCAGCGCTGTTTGCGCCTCCCGTAAGTTTGGCTGCCTGAACTGCACTCATCTTGTGTGCCCAGCCTGGCGCAGGTTGTGGTCGTCGTACAGTACGAATCTCGTCGGTGGAATATCCTGGCACACGAATGTTGTATTGACGCTCGAGAATGATTTGAATATCGCGAAGTTCGAGGCTTGACGACCCGCGGAGCTTTGCAAGCTTACACGCTGCTGTGACAAGGTCGTCGACAAAGTCATCGGCAATTGAGAGGAACAACTGAAAATAGTCAACACAAAACTAGCTGCATCGAAACAGGCGCAAGCTTACCTCTTCGGCTTCAGGTTCGAGCTGCTCCTCTGAGCCAGCGCCGCAAACCTCGCGCACCAATTCATTCAATTTCTTCTTGGACAGAACTCTCCCATCTTCGCTCGATTCCAGCACGTATCCAGGCAACGCGGTGATCGCAGGCTGCGCCAGTTGTCCAGGCAATCCGACCCCAGCACCGCCGGTCAAGGTTGGTCTCGACGGAGGCATGGTGACGGGTTTGGGCTCGGGAACCTGTAAATTCTTGGTGATATTAGGTGTTGCAGTCTTGATGCCGTTGATGCTGGTATTTAGCGGGTGAGGATGGACGCCGGCGGAGGCAGAGTGTTGCAAAGGAGGCATCGTTTGACCTTGATGGGAAGGTGGGCGAGGGCCTGCAGATGTGTCTCCTTGAACGGCTTGGGGCAACTGCGCCTGCGTTCCTGTAACGGGAGTATGAGAAGTGCCGACGCCAGTGTTAGGACCGACTTGAGGAACAGATGATGTTGGACTGCCTGCTTGAGCTTGTGAGGAGTTCGCTTGGTTACGCGCGGCGGAAACAGCACTACTAATGGAGTGGGCAGTTGGCCCTTGAACGCCTGGCTGCATCAGAGGTGCGGCAGTGGTTTCTGCTCCTTCACTAGTGGGAACAGCTTGTTTTGAGAATTGGTGTTGAGGTTGCGCGGCTCGAAATTGTTCCTGCTGTTCGTTGAACTTCTTCATGAATGAGGTACTTTCGTTGATTGCCCGGTCACACTGTGAAATCTTGTTGTTGTAAACCTCCGTTTCCGCGGCAGTCAACGGGTTCCCTGCTGCCTGTCGCTGCTGCGCCTGACGCTGGAACTCGGCTCTTTTCTGCTTGGCGACTTGAAGTCTCTGCAAAGCCTGACCCAGCCTCGCCTTTGCCTCGCGCAACCACAGTTCAGCAGGCTCGGTGCCTTTGGTCATTGCTGGAGGGTAGTAGAAGTGTTGCTCGTTGACTTTACGTTGAATTTCAGGGAGGAGTTGACCGAACTGTACCGCGCTACTTCCGCTCTGACCAGATCCAGCGCCGGCTTGTGCTTGACCAGGTTGGCCTGCGACTTTCGGTACCTGCCCTTGCGGTTGAGGTTGCGGCTGCGATTGCGGTTGCGCCTGTGTCTGCGTCTGAGTCTGTGCCGAGGCTTGCTGTTGTGCTGCGTTTTGTTGTGCCATCTGTTTTCGTTGTTGCCATTGTTTCATCCCAGCCATGAGTTGGCTCGAAGTCTTGACAAGGTTGGTGTATGCTTCATTGTATTTGGGATCCGTCTGTGGGGTGGTGTTCAAGATTTCCCAGAACCTCCTCACGCCTTGTTCAAACTGCTGTTTCTGGGTCGGGTTGAGCTGGGGTAGTCTCTGGACTTGCTCGGGACGGATCAAGGACGCCTGCTGCTGCGGTGCAGGCTGCGTGGGCCGATTCTGAGCGGCGGGGTCCATATTGAGGCAGATGAGATCGACAGAGATGTGAAGAAAGAGGGCGACAGATCGAGAAGAAGTGTCCGCGTCAAATGATTCGTGTCCTCTCGACTGAGTCTGCACCAAGAATAATGGAAGAGGGAGAGACTCTGGGTAAGTAATGGTCACTTCATCTGCATTGCGAAATAGTCCATGCCGCTCAACGTTCAGCAAGGTGATAGTATGGAAGTTCAGGACGTCAAAATGTCCTGACAACGAAAGAGAAAGAAAGAAGCAGCACGCGTTGAGTCGTTGAGTCGACTATCTCGCACATCGGTGAGGGAAGTTATACCGAACAGTTGGAAAGGCCCCTCCTGCTCCGAAAGCATTCAAACTTGGCGGTCGAGCCTCGTGCTCTCAGCCTCGCAATCGGTTTCGGCAAAGTTGTCTTTCCTGGATGCAGCCACGTGAGGACAGCCCTGTTAGTCTCCGTGAGAATATGGATCGGATTGGGGCGTGCACATATACCTACGAGCTGGGTATATGTGTGGAACGGACAATGTCTTGCTGTGGAGCAATTGCAAGGGACCAAGTGAAAGTAATTGCTTGCAGTTCTGTGCACAATGCAAGCATTCTGTATATCTATGGACTTACACTGAAAGTTTTCCGCCATGACACCACATTGAATGAGTGGTTGTTGACGTGCATAGCATGCTGGGGTATTGCCCAAGCACCCCCAGGTTTGTTCACGACAAGCCTGTACTGCATCTTTGGCTACTGTGTTCGCAACATCCCAGTGAGTAACCAGAGACCTCTTTCAACGCCATGCTAGCAAAGGTTTCTCCCAACCAGCAAACAATGCACGTAATTTGTCCTTCATATCCCATGTACTCATCAAATTGTACACATAGTCTTGACCTCTTCAACAACGGCCGTTAGCATCCTCAACCCGTACATGCCCGCTACCCGTTCCATGACCTTCAGCCTCCCCTTCATGTCTCTCAGATCTGCTGTTGCAATCCATTCTCCGCCACATGAACAATGATCTGCAAATACACTGTCGTCGCCCTGCAAACCACTGCATTTCTTGCATTTGATATCTTGTGCCTGCCAAGTCAACACCATTGATTGAACTCTCGCGATGAGTTTCTCCTCCAGCATGATTTTGTTGTACTCTGTCCCACAACTGTTGCAAATCCAAGGTTTATTATTTGCCAGCACTCCATCTTCGTTCACATCTGGTAGAATATCCTCGTCACGGCACAGATCCAAATCCCTAGTCATGGTGCATGTGTCGCAGACAAGATTCTCGAAGCGTAAACTCGCACTGGGATTTTCGAATCGGGCCTCCTTCCCAAACTCCCGGACATCGAACAGGGCCAAGAGCTCTTTGCGGAGAAGTCGTGCTTCAAGTTGAAGGGGCTTCGACAACGAGATTATTTGCATGAGCGATTTCACCAATTCAAGGACTGGATCATGTGGATTGCGCACATCACTGGATTCTAGAGTCCCTCCTGGCAAAGATGGGAATGTCCAGTCGCTGGCCAGTTCGGGGTGTAACAACTCCTCCCGTTGACGTCGAATTAAACCTGTGATTTGCTTCTTCAAGGGCTTGGAGAACGGATCTTGCAGGACAGATGTAATCTCGGTGCTGGTCGGGTCCTCTGTCAAATTGATGAACGGAGAAGGTAGTTGAGTGGGTCGAACAGTGGATGGTGTGCTCTCAGATGATATCTGTGGTCTTTTCAAATTCTGCATCAATTCGATAAAGATGATCACCCAGTCGTCAAAAATGGGCTGCAATGGAAGTGGTAAGAACTGTGAAAGTTGCCAGTGCACGACAGTCTCGAGACTGGAGTGATTGGTATTCTCTGTGACCGTGGAAGTGCCTTTACCGCCATAGTTGTACGCGTCATACCAAAGCAGGATGTCCCAGTAGTCTTTGACCTCAAGTCCGAGGAAATGGAAGAGAGGCTTTTGTTGAATCGATTTGAGAATATACTGAGAATACGCATATGCATTTTCAACGTCTTGCTTCGACGTTTGCAGAAGTAGTCGTGTTGGGCTCGCAAAAACAACCTGTGAGCCTACTCGGCGGAAATCAGTGATGAGTTGTTGCAGCGCTTTCTTCGACATCATTTGCACATAGTAATGGAGGTGTCGATCGTAAAGGCACGAAGCCGGAGCCTCAACCCATCGGACTAAATGCTGAACCATTACGTCTGCGAGTCGATGACCACGACAAGCTTCCGCCCACCATGACTTGACCATCTCGCGGAGGACTT